GGCGGCGCAGGGGGCGCACCCCCCCCCCCCCCGGGGGCGCACCCCCCCCCCCCCCCTCCAAGGGGGGGCGCTGGGCCCAGGGCGGAAGGGGGCCCCCTCGGCTTCGCGCCTCCCCGCCCGCGCGCGGGAAGCGCCCCCCCTCTCCCCCCCTGTGCGCCAAGGGCGACGGCGAACGCCTTGGGGGGGCGCCCCCCCCTCCCCCCCGCTCATCCCTCGCGCAGCGGTGGCGGCGGCGGCGGTGGCGGGGCCTTTCGCGCCCGCCCCCCCGCCCGTCGCGCGCGGCGCCCCGCTCCCCCTGCCCCCGTCGCCCCCGCCCCCCGCCCCCCGCGCCTCCGCCAGAGGCGCCCTCGCTGGTTCTCGCTGGAAGAATCAGATGAGCTCGCGCTCATTGGCGGCGCTGCGCCCGGCTGGGCCCCGCGCGGCTGCGGCTGCAGCCGCTGCTGCACCGCGCGATCGGTTCTGGGGTCACGCGGGCGTTCCAGCCGAGCCGCGCTGGCCCGCTGCCGGGACTCTCTGCGACGGCGGCCCCTGCTCAACGTTTACATCGGCCCCTTGCGTGCCGAATGAAGGTCCTGGCGTCCCCCCCGAGCGTGGCAGCGCATGCCGCTTGCGGCGCCGCATGGGGGATCAGCCGCGGCCGACGCGGCCGCCCCCGTCGCGGCCGCGACCGCGGCGCACATCCTGCAGCTGATTGGGCCTTGTGTCATCGCGACCGCCGCGGTCATTGCAACCTCGACGGCGACAATCGCGGCCGTCGCGACCGCGACGGCGAGCGCGCCCGCCGGCACAGCGGTCGCCGTCGCTGCAATGATCGCCGCGCCCGCGACCATCGCGACCGCGACCGCGGCGCCCATCGTCGCGGCGCGGGCGAGGACATGCTCGGGCATAAAATCCAGGAGTGGAACTGCTGCTTGCGACTTGCCAAACGCCCCATCCTGAAATTCCGAGCATGCGCGCGCTTCACCACAGTCACGGACTGAATATCAAGGCGAAACAAATGCCGAAACTATGCGACATCCTGCACTCGCGGGGCGAATAACGTTCCCATTGTCGATTTGTTGCGTAAGCTGGCCATGCAAAACAACATTTTAAAAACAACTTAATGAAACAAAAACAGCGCAAACATAGCCCAACGGAGTTAAGACATTCGCTCTGCCCTGCCGTGTGATCTGCGTCACCAGTGCGGCCGAGCAACAGTCGACAGGATTTCGCGTTAAATTGCCTGCGGGGTGCTTTGACTGACCGGAGATAACTACCGGCGAAATGTCGCCTACTGGGCTTGCCCGTGATAGTTTACGTTCTGGTGTGCGTACCGTTGGTGGAGATTTGGGCCTGGACAAAGCCTGTTCGCCCTTGGCATCGTGCGCGTCACCTTTTGCACATCGTGTTGTCTCGTCTCGTAAATTTTCGAACCAAAAGAAATTTCTTCCCAAAAGGACCGTGGAATCCGCCGACCCCTTGGCGTTCGTCGGCGTGTGAGATACTTCGTTTTCCCCAAAACTCTCCCCCGGGAGCCTGGCCCGGTCGATTTGGAGATGGGGAACAAGGGGGTCGGCCGGGTCAGGCTGGATCTTCAGGCTGGGCCAGGGAATTCATGTCTGCTGGCCTCGACCTCCTCCAGAAAACCCCCGTTGACCTCAACGTGACCCCCCGGGGACTCAAGACGGTACGTGAAGGCTTCACGCATGGAATATCTGCTTTTGCGTTGAATATGATTGCGCGGGGGATAAGCTTCTGCCGTTAGTTAGCTTGCAACCGGAGGGGGGAGTATTTTTCCTTGAAGCTCTTGTTGTTGCCACTAATGTGCTTGCAGTGGTGGGGAGGGAAGGGGTGAGTAAAGGCTTGCTGAGATATCCCCTCTCGCGCAGGTCCCATGCCACACTCTTTGTATAAAACAAAATCCCCAAAACAGTGCCTACCCAAAGCCACAGTTCACCCCAAATGCTCGGAATCCCCATACCATTCTTTACTAACTGGATAATTCTTCTCCACCCAACGAAATGCAAACCAGTTTCCTGCCGAATTTGCAACTGTACCACAATAGTGGTCCCACACAGAAGTCCCACAAACTCCTTGCAAATAGTTGGCACCACCTCAGCCATGAGTCTCCCTCCGCGCATTTTCGAATGGCCACGATTGGCCTCTGACTCACATGTTGTAAATGGCGGCCTTTTTTGAGCGTCCGATGCTGGCTCCTGTCTCGCATGCTTGTTCGGCATGAGCAACCGATTCGGATGTCTCTGTTAAGACATCACTCACCAACTAATTGGGGGATGCGACCGGGTCATGTTCTCTGATATCAAAACGGCGAGGAGGAACGAAGAGGGGGAAGTGGGAGGAGCCAGGGAGGGAGAGGCAAGACATAGCACCCCGAAGTTGCGGATAAGAGTGCGGGGGCGGTCGCGGGGCAGTCGCGGGTGAGTCGCACGTGGGTCGCGGAACAGATCGCTGGCGGGTCGACAACAATAAACACCAAACAAAAAAACAAACAACAGACACAACAACACCAACAACAACAACAACAACAACAACACCAACAACAACAACAACAACAACAACAACAACACCAACAACAACAACAGCAACACCAACAACAACAACAACAACAACAGCAATAGCAACAGCAACACCAACAACACCAACAACACCAACATCAACACCAACAACAACAGCAGCAGCAACAGCAACAGAAGCAGCATCAACAACAGCAACAGCAACAACATTAACAACAACATTAACTGCACCAGCACCAGCACCAACACCACCAACAACAACCACAACCAACCACCACCACCACCACAATAACAACAAAAAGTTTAAGACCGCTCGCCCTTATATGCTCGAGTGTCCAGTAACGCGTATTTCCCAAACCCTCGATACCCGCCCTCTTCGTCTTCGATCGGACCCCCTTTTGGGGGGTATACCTTTCTTCCCTGCATGCCGGGCCCCGGCAAGCGGCGGGGCGGCCGCGGACCGTCGGCCTGGCCAGCGGCAGCGCTGATCGGTGGGGCGGCCGCGGACCGTCGACTCGACGACGATGACGACGACGACGTCGACGACGACGGCGACGACGACGACGGCGACGACGAGCGAAAGCGAGAGCGAGAGAGAACGACAGCAGGGCCACGAAGGGCACGAAGTAGGCCACGAAGGGCGACAGTGGGGACACGAAGGGAATGCGTATGGGGCCACGAAGAGCGCGAACGAGCGGGGGCCACGAAGTGCAGATAATGCGGGGCCACAGAAGGCAACTATGGGGCCACTGAGGGTAGCAACTGGGCCACGTAGGACAGTGAGGGGGATACAAATGGCGACAGCGGGGCCACGAAAGGTATGCACATGGGGCCACAACGGGCGCGACTCCTGGGTGCCTGGGTGTCGGGAGCGCGGCGCTTGGGCAAATTGCAAGAAATCCCAACGCAAGGCCATTCTTCAATAAGTCGCAAGCGAATGTCCAGCGAAAGCGCGACTCCAGAGCGCCGGGAGAGCGATTCCTGAATAAATTGTAAGGAAGTCCCAAGCGAGAGCGCGATTCCTGAATAAAATGCGAAAAAGTCTCGGGCGGGAGCGGGGCTCCTGGCTAAATTGTAAGGAAGTCTCAAGCGGGAGCCGTTGTTGTTGTCACCCGGGGGCCAGGGGGCCAATTTGAGCAGGAAGACTTTCCCTGTCAAAAAACATGGTGCGAGCGTCGAGGGGCACACGTTGATTAAGAAAAAACAATATGCACCGGTGCGGGGGGGGATCAACAATAATTATTCTTTAAAAAAGAGAATTCAACGTCAACAGCCCCAATCATGTGAAGACTGTTCGCTCATATCTGCTCGCGTGCCATTCAAAACGTATACCCCAAACCCTCGATACCCGCCCGCTTTGTCTTCGACCGTACCCCCAAGGGGGTCTATCTTTCTTACCTGCAACGCGTATTCCGTACAGCCCCTGAGGCAAGGGAAGAGAGGACGGATGGAAGCAAGAGACAAGGGGAATGGGAGGAGGAGGATGGAGCACGAGAGAGACTAGCAGGAGGGGGGCTAGGAGAAGAAAGCACGTGGCAGCACCAGACAGGCAGATCGGGCGGGTAGACCCTACCAGGCGTATCGGGAAGGAGGGTCCAGGCGGCCAGGGCGAGCAGACGTGTTGCTGAAGCGTGCGTCCTGCATGAATCGCGAGGCAGTCTCGAGCGACAGCTCGACTTTCAAATCAATCGTGGAGAAATCCACAGCGAGAGCGTGACTCCTGAATGTCGAGGGCGCGGCGTCTGAACAGGTTGTGAGGTACTCCCGCGCGAGAGCGCGATTTGCGAATACATTGTGAGGAAATTTCAGGCGGGAGCCGTTGTTGTTGTTGTTGTTGTTGCTGTTGTTGTTGGTCGGGGGTCAGGTACGCAGTTTTCTCAGGAAGACTTGCCCTGTTAAAGAACACAGGGTCCGAGCCTTTGGTCGGGCATGTCCCCCTACAGGCCGAGTTTCGACGAAAAACATTGGGAAAAACACACATGTTGGCTTTGTCTATGTTTGACTTTTCCTCATGTAGAAAGACAAGCCCGACTTAATGCGAGCCCTGGGAAAGGCACCTCAATTGGAACAAAAACATATATATATATATATGTGTTACCAGAAGGGGGATCAACAATAGTTATTCATCAGACATGAAAGTTCAACAACGACAACAACAAACCTCACCGCCGAAGCCCGGTTCACCCACGCATCCAGGGACAAAGAATGACGGTTCAGCCCCCTCACCCTGCTTTACGATGCTACGGGGGCGACGAAGAGAAGAGGGAGGCTCGGTACGGAAGAAGATAGAGGTGGGATGCCAAGGAGGGCCCACATCGAAGGCGGATGCTGGCGGGATAAAGATGGGACGGGAGAGGGGGGGGAGGTTGGAGGGTGGAGGCCGCAGGAGGAGGAAGACGAATGACAAACTGTAGAGGGGATGAAGAGTGGAGAGGGGAGGGCAGGGAGGAGGAGGAGGAATATGATGTGGACCCCCCCCTGCGAGTCCTGGCCAGATGGCTCCGCGAACTCCGTCGCGATCCAGCAGTTCAGGAATTCCTCGGCTGCGCGAACCACATCGCGCGGGGTTTGCACCTGCCAGCAGGGTGGGGGCTTCCAGGAAGCCACCAGGAGGAGACAGAGGGATGAGGATGAGGAGAAGGAGACGCCTGTAAAGGGAGGGGAGGAGGAGGGGAGGATGAGAAGGTGGAAGCAAGAGCATGCAGCAGGGAGGAGAAGGCAGGGAGGCGACCCCCCCTGGCGCATCCCCATCCCCGTCATACATTGACCCGTGCTCCGCCTCCGCCCCCTCCTTCCAGTCTCCCTTGTTCTCCAGCCCAAACGGCGGAAGACGACAACGACGACGACGACGACGAGAACAACGACGAGGACGACGACGACGACGAACGACGGCGACAACGATGACGGTGAGGACGACGACGGCGACGACGTTGGCGCCACCGGCCGTCGCCCACACCGTCGCCGCAGCCGCCACCCAGCGCCGTCGCCAGAGCCTGCGCGGTCACCCGACAGTCGGCGGCGACGACAGGGGCGAATAGCCCAGGGGCGGGCATTACACGTATTCGCCCGGGAGCCTTTCCGAAGACATAAATCATCGGCGCACCTAAATACATGCATTGCTACCCCCTGTGCTTGTGGATGCCACGACGATGGACACCCTAACAGTCCTATCATCGAATTAAATATGTATTTAAAGTGTCGGAAAATGTTCTAAGCATGCTTGACACATGTTTTTACATGTTTAAACAATGTAACGCATGTTCTAGACATCTGGCGACTATTTGGCAACATGTTTCCTCTCCATTGATCGTCCTCCACAACCCTATGCCTATCCCCCCTATCGTTGCCCCCAGGACAGGCCTGAGGGGCAACGATAGGGGGGGATGGGCATAGGGGGGGATGCCTCGACCTGGAATCGGCGATACATCGTCGAGAGACTGGCGATGGGACCCCGATAGTGAATCCGCACCTTCCTGGGCGGGGTGGGGCTATCGGGCGATTGGGGGTCGATGCATCCCCCCCTATGCCTATCCCCCCACTATCTTGGCGGCGCGCAAAAGGGGGTAGGGGGAGGGGGGAAGGCTTCTCAGAAGCACCCTGCTTCTTAAAGGCGCCGGCCTTACGTCTATAGAGAAGGCCCGCGTCTTCTAAGAAGCAGGGGTGCTGCTAAGAAGCCCTCCCCCCTCTGCGCGTGGCTGACTACCGGGGCCCCCGAGACAGGCCTGACTCCGCGGCGGCCACGCCGCGCCCGGCGCCAGGTGGGGCGGGCGGCCCCACGGCAGCGCTGGCGCCAGGCCCGCGGGCTCGCCGCCTGCCGCCTGCGACGGGCGCGGCGGCGCCAACGTGCGCTGCCATCCTCGTCCCCCCCTTGGGAGGAGGAGGAGGAGGAGGAGGAGGAGGAGGAGGAGGAGGAGGAGGAGGAAGAGGAGGAGGAGGAGGGAGGAGGGAGGAGGGAGGAGGGAGGAGGGGCGGAGGCGGAGGCGGAGGCGGAGGACGAGGCGGAGGAGGAGGCGGAGGAGGAGGCGGAGGAGGAGGAGGAGGAGGAGGAGGAGGAGGAAGAGAAGGAACAGGAGGAGGAGGAGGAGGAGGAACAGCAGGAGGGGTGGAAAGCAGTGAGGGGAGAGACACTGGCACTATCGATTGGACTGCCGGAGTGAATGAAAGCCCCGTGGTGGGGCTGTGACCGCCCCGCCGCGAGCACCGCCACCCTGAATGGCCTGCGGGCCAACGAAGCTGGGCTCGGCGGACCAGCGACCTGCAGGGATGAGCCATTGCGTTGCACCGTCCTTTGGTTCATCGTTCACATCCAGAATGCTAGCATTGCTCTGTTTTTCTTCGCAAAATGAAAGCGCTAAGCGCACTACTGGCTACGTAGCATGGTGGTCTGGCGAACGTGGCCGAACGTATGGCCGCAAACGTCGACTCAAAGAGTGCCAATTGAGAAAATTATGTCCACCATCCTGCCAATGTTCGGGGATCTTCTGACCCAGGCCAATCCAGACCCGGGTCAGTCAGGCCTTGCAGAATCCTGCAACATCCTGCAAAATCCTGCACCCAAACCCGGGTCAATGCGAAGGATCCTGCAGGATCCTGCACCCAAACCCGGGTCAATGCGACCCTGGCCCTGCAGGATCCTGCAAGATCGGGCGCTCTGGCCGACCCCCGTTTGCATTGACCCCGTCTCAAGGCTCGGCTCCCGAAATCTTGCTGAATGTGAAACGCCGGGAAAAGAAACGAATTTCCCACCCCCGCGCCGGCCGCAGGCCAGAGATTTCAGCAATTGAGAACGGGTGGCGAGCTGAAGGGCCGCGAGTGGGCGCAGAACTGGAGAAGCCAGAGCACTTGGACCAGCGCTCAAGCCAACCTGCAACACGCGAGCCGTTGCGCGCATCCGAGCACGGAGGAGACTCCCAGGGGGGCTGATTTAAATATCTGAGCCCGAACTCCGAGCACGACCACGTGAACTAACAAGCCCGACAAATGAGTCCACAAACCTATCGATACGAATTCCCACCTAACGTATCAGCCCGGACGGGATCAGCCAAGAACGATGCCCAGCCAGAGCAGCACATGAAACACCGCCCCTGATGTTTCACAGCGTCGAGTGCGCATCAATGGCGCGTTGATCGTCATTGGCAAATCCGGCACGGTCGCTCCGGACCCGTGTGGGAGAAGAGGAACGGAGAGAGGAAGAGTAATCTAGTCATGCTACGCTTTGACTAGCATTGTCCTGTTTGTCGTAGCCAGTCAAGCCGCCTGGCGCGAGACAACGCCCGTAATAGAATCCATCCAGATGCGAGATCCCAGTCCGTGAAAACCCGTAGCGCTATCGTCGCCAATGGAACCATGAACCAATGAGCCAATAGAACGAAGACGTGGGAGAAGGGAGCAGGAGCTACAGGGACGAGAATGGCCACGAGGTCGAGCACGAGGAGGATCGCAAAAATGAGAACAATCACTAGGAGGGCGTAGACATTGCATCGGCAGCAGGAGCTGTACCACCACGGACGGCCACAGAACCTGTAGCGACACGCATAGGACAAATAATACGAAAAACAGAAAGCCGACGTGGACCGTGAGGAGCATAAGACGGCATGCAAATAGAGGGTCAGGACGACGCTGGCAGGGACGATACCAGCGGCAGGAGATGACCCAGGAGAGGCGCGACGAAAACGATGCCAAGAACCCGAGCTGCAGCAAGATAATCCGCCAGCCCTCTTGGGGGCGCCAGGCCGGGAAGTTTCCTACAGGACTTCTGTCTTGTGTGTTGTGTGGTCTAGCGTTTCGTCGTCATCTGTCTCTGCAGACCTGTCTCGAATGTCCTGTGTACAAATGGACCCGCGGGGCCAGAGTCACCTGAGGGAAAGCACCGAGGATGGAGGGGAGAGTGACGTAGTGAACGGACAGAGGGATGAGGAATGCAGCGGGTGAAGAAAGGGGGGCAGGACGGAGGAGGCAAAATGATCACGAAAGGATGGATACGGAGAGAACGAGTGTGGCGGGACGGAAGAGGTAGGGAAAATCTTGCTGGGAGAAGCAGCAGGAAGCAAACAAAAGATACGGAACTCGTGGATGCAGCAGGGCAAAGTCAAAATGATGGGGGAAGGAGGGAGCGTGTGGAATAAGATGAACCCTTAGCGGTCTGACCAATGCAGGCAAGCTCCTGCACCAGTGGGAATACGATTGTGGATGCCACGACAATGGACACCCTAACAATCCTATCATCGAATAAAAATATGTTTTAAATGTCGGAAGCCGGTCTAAACATGTGTTAAACATGGTTAAAAAATGTTTTAGACATCTGGAACTTATTTGGCAGCATGCTTGCCCTCCCTTGATCGTCCTCCACAAGACTACGAGCACGGGAAGGCGCATGACCACTAGCCACGGCAGCCAACCCGAGAGAATAGAAGCGAGAAGGGTGGAAGATGATGAGGAGCACATCTCTACTTTCTCGCCGTTGGCCTCCTCCTCCTTCCTCCTTTTGCCCTCCTTCGGGGAAAGAGGAGGGGAAAAACAAAGGTATAGGTAGGAGGAGGAGGAGGAGGAAGCTCAGGGAGAAGCGAGGAGGCGAATGACCCGAGTGAGCCCAAGATATGAAACCGATGCCGAAACACAACGACACTGCCGTCCCAAGGTCCATGCTCACAACTCCGTGCTGGGGGAAGCGCCCGACGGCTGTTGCCGCTGGCTTCGAGCAGTCCAGAGGGGACTCGGCTGCTCCAGACTGACGCTCGAGACCCGTCGCCGCGGCAATCTCGAACGCTATTCCGGCTAACTGTGGTCAGCTGACTGCCCCCCCGCCGCTACGGCTGACCGCTTTCGGAATCGATGATGGTGATGGTGATGGTGATGGTGATGGTGATGGTGATGGTGATGGTGATGGTGGTGATGGTGATGATGGTGATGGTGATGGTGATGGTGGTGATGATGATTATTATGATGATGATGATGATGATGATGATGGTGATGGTGATGGTGATGGTGATGGTGATGATGATGATGATGATGATGATGATGGTGATGATGATGATGATGATGATGATAGGGCAAGGAAGAGGAGGAGGTCGAGGAGAAGGAGCAGGAGGAGGAGGAGCAGGAGGAGGCCCCCATTTGTTCCCCCCTGTCGGCTGTCGGTACCAGAGAAGGAGGACAACGACGAACGTCCCGTGGGCCCGCAATTGAGGCGAGAGGCCCGTGTGCAAAGAGAAGCCGCCCTCCAGCCTTCGAGCCATATGGCGAAATCGACAGGGCGGACCATCGACAGCCCCACTGTGAACAACAAATTAACGCTCAGACCGTGCACCCGTTCAGAGGAGGATGAGGAGGATGAGGAGGAAAAAATGATCACACCGTGCACCCGTGTAGCTGCTACACAAATGTGATCGTGTGCCCTCCAAGCACAATCGGGCCCAGGCCAGAAGGGCACCCCTCAAAAGCATGAGACCCTCCGTCGGCCCAAAGAAAACAGAACATGCAAGGGTGCGCCCCCCAGGATGCCCAAGAACATCCAACAAACGCGAAGAACAACAGGGTACCCTTCCCAAACCAAGCTCGATCTTGTACCTCGGTCCGTAGATGCTGCACAATTTGATCGTACGCCCTCCACGTATTTCGACTGTGACGCGAGAAACCAATTTTGAAAAGGAGCCATCCTCCATCATATGATCCCGCAAGCCTTTCCGGCACAGATGGTGGAAAGAGTGAGTTCTTCCAACCTACCGCGTCCCCTTCGGGGAGAGGTTCACCGCTCCCCCAACCCCCGTCTCTCTCTCTCTCTCTCTCTGGGGGCACAACGAGGCCTTATAGCGTCCGAACTGGCCCAATCTGGCCCAAGAAGCACCCACGGTTTCCCAAATACGCTTCCAATCTCGCACGCTGTAACCCAATATGCTTCAAGATAGCGTCCAGTATGCCTGCAAGAGACCCCAAGACCGCTCCAAGACGGCTCGGAGTGGCCACAGAACCTCCCAAGATGAGAGGCCAAACACCCGTCCAGGCCTCTGGATGGCTTCAAAATGGCCAGGAGAGCCGAGAAGAGCCTCAGAAGGCTTCAAGACGGACGCCGCCCTCTTGCTGAATCGGTGGGTCTCCAAGATGGCCTCAAGAGGACCGCAAGAGGGGCCCGCAGGACCAAAAAGGCTTCCAAACTTGCGTGCACCACGAGGGTCCCAATGGCCTCCAAGATGGCCCCAGGAAGGCCCCACAATGACCCCAAGAGGCTTCTGCGCGGGCTTCGAAAAAGAAAGACCCGCAAAAGACTTTATGGTAACTCCTGTCGTCGTCGTCGTCGTCGTCGTCGTCGTCGTCACCGTCGTCCCCGATTCTTCCTCCTCCAGCTTCTCCCTCTCCTCCTCCTCCCTTTCCCATCGTTTGTCCCGCTATTCCTCTCCTCCTCCCCTCTTCCCTCCCTCCCTCCTCATTCATTTCCTCCTCAGTCCTCTCTCCCCCCCAAAAAAAACGTCTGCCCTTTTTTGCCTGGTCAAGAGAACTCGCCTAGTGCTTGCGTTCGGATGGGCTGGTGGGGATACGCGGAACGTCGAGACGTGTTGCAACACATCTTACCCGTGTGATAGTGTTCATTTCGGAGATATCTGGCGGATATCTCAGGCGAGAGCCCCGTGTTGAAAAGGAGCCGCGGTCCATGTGTGCTACTGTTGCACGATTCTACACTCGTGGTGCAATTTGCAAAGGAAGCCGAAGAGTCTCGAGCGAAGGCCCCATAAAACACCGGGCCTCCATCCGTGTCACCGCCGAGAACTTCGGAGGCGAATGCGCGCAGCACCCAAGCGATGGCCACACGTTGACAACCACTGGCTCTCCGTGCGTGCCTCTGTTGAAAACTTTCGGCTTCGCGATACTGTTTTTCGGCGGTGGACGAACCTCAGTTTAGTAAACCACTCTTTAGTGAAAACGGCCTGGGACCGAAACCGACAGACCTGGACCCGCCAAAATGACGGCCGCGACGCCCTCTCGCGATCCGAAAACGGCCAATTCCTTAATCGACGTGTCAGGGTAGGAGGTCTGTCCACCCCCAAGATTTGACAGGGATGCCGCGCACGCAGCGCTCTGCCCGACAGGCGGCGAGGAGGAGCGACCGACGGCGACCGGCCCTCCCCGAAGCGCGACAGGGAGCGACGAGGGGGCGTCTGGCGGTGCGGCGCAGCGGGTGGTGTGACGTGGAGGAGCCAGGAGGAGGACGTGGAGGAAGAGGAGGAGGAGGAGGAGGAGGAGGAGGAGGAGGAGGAGGAGGAGGTAGAGGAGGAGGAGGAGGAGGAGAAGGACAAGGAGGAGGAGGAGGAGGAGGAGGGAGGGAGGGAGGGAGGGAGGCAGGAAGGAAAGGAGGAGGAGGGTGAGGAGGGAGGAGGAGCTGCTGGTAAGGAAGAGGGGTGGAGAGAGGACGAGGCCCGCCCCGTTCCTCCTCCCCTCCCTCTATGAAAGGGGCCCAGGGACGCACAGAGGTGAACAGGCACAGATCCTCGGGGTCCTACTTTTTTCTATCGCATCTGGGTTGTAGCCTTCCCCAACCACGTCCGATATGTTCCAACATTCTCCTGGGAATCGGCGATGAATTACCTGTGTGTGATTATGATTTCCCCTTCTCCCTCTATCCCTCCCTCCGACCCGCCCTCTGTGTGTGTTCCCCTTCTCCCTCTATCCCTCCCTCCGTCCTCCTCTCGTCTGCCGCCGCACCTCCCCCGCGTAGGGACATCCCCCATCGGAGATGTTCTGACCCGGGTCAAGCCAGACCCGGGTCAGTTATTGAGCAGGGACCGACCGTCCGGGCATTCATATTGTCCTACCACGAATCTTTTAGAACCCCAAAAATGCTCTAAAAAGAAATCAATGTTCTTAGAACATCAGCCCGATGTGTTAAAACAAGACAATCTCAACCAGAAATGTTCTAAGAACATTTCGTGGAAACCACACATGGTTCTTAGAACATTGTTTGGCAGGGCTACGGGCGAGCCAGGACGCTTCGCCACT